ATCCCTAAATCATTTTCCATTTATCAATTATGACTGTTTTTTAACCATCATTAATATCAAAATTTAACAAAATTTTGGGCTTTAATAAATTTTATAGTAATCATAACCAATGTCAATTTAATAGGTTCTTTTAGAATTTCCTTTAGATATGATTGAATTTAATAATAATATCGGCCTTTTAAGGTTTCTCCTTATCTATTTACTGTAATATTAAACCAGTTATAACAATATTAAAAGGTGTTGGGTGGAATTACGATCTTTTTCTCTGCGCACAGTCTTATAATTTATTACTAATTATATTAATGAAATTTGTCATCAATAAAAATGAAGGTAAGACTCGGCTAAGGAATTTAATTAATTCTTTCCAAGTCCCAAGGTTCATAATTCTGAGCCATCATTACGCTTCAGAAAAACGAAGGAAAACCAGGTCCCCATTCACAGAGACCATTCCATGCCACCTGAAACACACTTTCCTCGTGCCCTTCTGTACCAAGTCCATCTTTAGTCATCACTCCTACTAAAGTCATGAGAAGCCAACGGCCCTACAGAGGTCCCCACTTTAATTCTTCATCTCAATTTAGTGTAAACAGTTTAATTTTTTTCCCAAATTAATCTAAGAAATTCAAATGTACATATTAAAAATAATCTAACTATCAAGAGTTTTGTACCTTTTTATATTGAAATTCCATGAAAGCACCTTTCGTGGTGTCACAAACATGTAATAAGATCCAGGAAAGACGAAATAGCATCTACCTAATAGTGAGTTTTGTTTGGTTTTAAAGGCACTATTTGTAGCTTATAAAAGGGCAAAGAGAACCCTTTGTAATCTATAAATAAAATTTTTCATTAGCTATTAAAAATAATTGAAACAGAAAAGTTACATTTCAATAATCAAAACCAGTGATAGGCAAATTAAAATAGACATTTTCAATGGCTTTTAAGAGAAAAAGTCAAGGAGATAATGAACTAAATGTTAATAAAGTATTAAGATCTAGTAATTTTTTAACATCCCGTGGTGCTACACAGTGGTGAACAATGACTTCAATTAGGAAAACTACAGGAAATCTGGTAGACCATCTTAGTACTTTCTTTAATGTTTTTTTTTAAGTAATTTGTGAAAAAATATATATTTTTTAAATTAACCAATAGCTATATAGAGAATGCTGTGCAGATTACATTATTTTTAATTATTAATAGAAGTGTGAATCTTCAATATTAAAAAACTCACTTAATTTATTTATTTATTTTTTTTGAACATATTTACAAGGGGTGGGTTTCAAACCTAACCCGGGGAGGGGGGAATGCACCGAGGTGACTATTGCCACTAAGCTTCAAGGGTCAGGTGCAAACTCACTTAATTTATTAATAATTAAATAAAATATAATTTGCATAGAATGGATTACACCTCACTTTTATGTGATATTTAACCTATCAAATTTTAAAATAAAATTTTGTTAATAGTAGTATTATTATTACAAAAAACTATTTTACTTACAAAACATGAGGCCCTTATTATTATAAATCTATTCTTTTTTTAAAAAAAAAAAATCTATGTTATTTCTTTAACCAAGGAAAAAAATAATACTCCCTTAGTTTAAGTTTAGTAGACCTAATTTTTAACTTAAAGCATTCAAATTTGGGCCTTATATGACGAAACTTCTTGGTGCTTTAGTCTTGGTTTTTATATTTTTTATTATTTTAAAAATATATAAAATGTTAATTAAAATAAATATTAAATATATTTTTAAGATATTAAAAGACCATAAAACCAACAACTGCAAGTACATACTAGCATCTCAAATTAAGCGCTGAGTTGTTCATTTTACCTTTTTAAATTTAAAGTGTCATTTAATATACTTATTTTTATTTTATTTTAATTTAAACAGATAATTATAATATATTTTAAATAAAAAATGTATTCAAATAGTCTTAATTAAAGTTAAATTTAAAATTTTATCAATTATTTATTACATTTTTATTTTATTAAAAAATAAACATAATAAAGTTGGGGGCTGTTTACCAAAAAAATAAAGTTAGGGGGGTAATCTTTTTGATATTCTTGGATTGTCGTGCGGACTCGTGTCATTGAAGGCGCGTGGGAGAAGCACACGGGATTGGGTCGAAGCTTCTGGAGAACGCCGTCGTTTTTCTTTTGCTTCATTCTGAAACTGTCGAACTGGAAACACGTGCGCCTTTAGTTTTGGGAAAGATTGATAGGTAAACCCTCGGAGCTTCATAAATTTGACAATATAAGTCCCTGAACTTTTTCTCTGCCATTTTGTTTTTGCTGATCTGTCATTTTCTAAGGGTATATATATATATATATATATATATATATTTTTTTTTTCAGCAGTTTTTAAGGGTGTATTTAGTTCGAAAGAAGGGGAGGAAATACATTTCTCTATTTAGTTATCAAAAAATTAAAAAAATTAAAAAAATTAAAAGAAATAGGAAAGGAAGGAAGTTTTCTAGTTTATTTTTTCTTTTAAATCCCTTCAATTCTTGTAACGTGTCCAAATAAAAGAAGTTGAGGAATTTAAGAAACAAACACAAACAACATTTTTTTTTTTTGAAATATGACAAATATTCTCATTAACTTTAAAATGTTCTAATTCAAAACGGTAAAACTTAGACATTTTCATAAATTTTTATACAAATTTCTCAAAATTTCAGTAAATAAACTCATTCCAAATGCAACCCCACTGTCTCCAAAATTAAGTTGAGTAATCCAATTAATCTGACTCCTTCACTTTAAAAAAAATTATTTTGACATACACTAACTTTTCCTAAATTTTTTCTAAAACTATAAAATGATATAATCTTACAATTAGCTCTTCTCTCTTTTCTTTGCCAATATACATCACTAAATTATAAAATAAGAATAGTTAGATATAAAGAAAGTCTACTATTTTTCTA